TTATATATATGATATACTGAGCCAGAAATTTCTTTGGTGATCAATTTTGGTTCAATAGTTTAAGCAAGAGCAAGCAACACCATTTTAATCAACTCCATGTTGCCATCTTTTACAATGCATAAAATAATTAGGAAAATTTAGGGCTTGTCCTTAACCTTTAAAAATAGGTTTTATATCCATAATTTATTTAAATTTTTGGTTTAGCTAAAAATAAGATATTTAATAGATTTTAATAAAAGTTGATGCAATATGTAAATGAAAAAAGTTAATAAAAGTTGTAGCTTCCTAAAAAAGTATGGTTGAAAATGAGCTTGAAAAAAAATAGTTTTAGAAAATGAGTAGCCAAACATGAGTTATATTTCTAACCAAGTGTTAGGGTTTCGCATACTCCTTTGCTCAAGAGAGCTTTGGTGGCGAATACGTTCTTTTTCTCGAACAAACTTCAATGGTCAAGGAATAAATATTTGCCCCATGACGAGTGGACTCACGATGGGGTCCTTTATAGATGACGTGGCGTCCGTGTGGACTATAACTATTTCAACAAGTAAAGCACTCAACAGTCCACGTGTTTTCAAATTCCAAATGTACATGTAATTGATATTTAGTCAGTAAAAACTATTTTTTAGAATTCTAGAAAGCAAGCCCGTCTTGGGAACAACACCACGCCTTGACAATGAGTGCCTAATGGCGCTTTATTAATTTTTTTTTAAAAGCCTTTTGTTTGCCTTTAGTTTTAAATTTTTAAATGACTTTATCTTTATAATAGTAAAAAATGAAAACACATTAGGAAATTTCAAGTAGGACTTGTCTAGTTGAAATTATGAAAAATATTCTAATTTTTTCATTTCGAAAACTTAAAAATTATAAAATTGATTAATTATTGGAATCATTAAGTAAAAAAAATTTTGTAATTTATAATTTCAGATATTTGGTATATATTATTTTAATTATTAAAATTTTTAAAATGATTAAAAAATTAAAATAATATTAAAAGAAACTTTTTTTACGCCTAAGTCTTGCCTAAACACGTCTAAGCTAATACAGCTTGAAACATGCCTCCATACTTTACGCTTTTTATAACACTATTATTTTTAGAACAAAAAATGCTCAAATCACATTCCCATCACAAATACTAAGAATAACACTCCACCACCACAACGGTTTTCAACAACCACTTTCATCACCCTCACATTCATCGCCACCATTATCATCTCGCTATCTATCAACACTTCCACCATATAAAACCATTTCCAACACCATTTTAGCCACCACCACTACTTCCTTCACCGCTCAATTTTTCCTATACATATATTTTATGAGTAGACGACTGCAAACATGTTGGATCAGATTTTTATTTTGTTTTGTAAGAATAGTTTTTTGTGGTTGTGATGATGGTTTCATGTGATAGTGGTACAATATGGTGTTTACAAAAGTGAGGGCGAAGGTGGCGCTGAAATTTATGATGGTAGCCTTGGTGGTTTATGATGGTGGTGAGATGGGATAGTATTGATGGCGGTGTTGGTAATTTATTATGGTAGTAGAGATATGGTGGCGGCGTCAAGATTGACGTCAATGGTGGTAGTGAAAATAATGATGGTGGCACCGGTGTTAACGATAACAACTTAACATAGTATGTAATGTGTGTTGGTGGCATAGATGATATGGTGGTTTTATAATACTGAATGTTACAAGGTGTGGCAATGGAGACGATAATCTAACACCATATGTTACAAGTGGTGGCAACAACAACGGAATCAAGCGCTAAAATATGCGTCACATAATGTAATATGATGTACCACAGCTTGTTACAAAATATAATGTAAAAGAAATCAAAATAAAAAATAATAAGAAAAACATCACTTTAGAAAAAAATAAAAAAAGGAAAGAAAGAAGAGGTTTTGTAGTATTAGTATAATGAGAAATACTTTATTTTTCAATGTAATTGTGAATTTTTCCATATATGAAATAATAAAAGAAAAACTATTTCAATTTCATGTAATTACATATTCTTGACTTGCAACCTATACGTCTCACCCCATCGAACATCGAATAATTATAAGAACAAAATGACCATTTTGCCATCATAATCAGTATCCTACTTAAGCTCGCATTTTATTTCATAGTTTCTACATGATCAGCGCTGTGGAATTTATTTGTCAACAGTAAATACTGAGCTCAAATTTAAATTGCTTGAGTATTTTTCTTAAAGAAATTGCTTAAGTATTTTTCTTAAAGAAAATACTTAAGCATATTCATTTGTTGATTCACATGGGCGACAAATACATGCTCTCTACTTCACTTGCTTTTCAGCTCCCTACTCACCAAGATATGTGACCATATAATTAGTTATTAATCACGGACACATCAAAGACTCTAAATTTCAAAATAAAAACCACTAATCTGATATGGATTTAGGCAATCCATAAAAGCAGTCATATATCGTTTAATTCTTTTTACGACAATGTTATAGACTTACACTCTAGATTGTGGTCATGTTCTATACACTTTCAGATGTGCTAATATTAGTATTTTTGAAATTCTTACGCTGATCGTCAAGACAAATCACATATCCCAATCGGTAAAGTGATTGACCTTATGACCTTATTAGAAAAAGGTGTCAACCTTTATTCATCGGTCTAAGATAACTATTTCTTGATCCATATACAAAAAAGTATATATGTGCTTTTCTTTGTAAGCAATTTGTATGTCTCAAGTCAATCTAATACGCGTGTTCAATAAAATAGAGTAATTTGTTTAAAGACATAAATAAATAAAACAAATTTATTAAATAATATTCAAAATGTTTGACAATTGCAATAAAATCCTGACAAATAAACTATTAAAACCTTTATATTTGTAATTGAAATAAAAAATTATTAGCACCATTCTTATGCATCTATCCCTATTAATTTTTTTTAAAAAAATATTATATTTATCC